AAGGGTCCCGGGAGAAGGTTGGAGACCAGTGCTGCAGACTACACTGAGCTTTCTGAAGCTGAATGAGAGTCAGTAAGAGTCGGTGCGAGTTAGAGGTGGGGTCTCTAGACAGTAAGTTCTTTAGAATGCGGAACTTTGACAGAGCAACAAGATTTCTCAACGCCCAAGTGACAAAACACACACACACACACACACACACACACACACACACACACCTCATTAAATACCAGCCGCCCTAATTTATTGTACAGAAACTTGAACACAGGGCATGTTTGTCGGTGGGGCAGTGATACAGCCCACAGGATACAGAGCTGGGTCTGTGGGTAACTCTTGCGTCTGTGTGGCGCTTGTTTAACGGTCGTCGTTTGCTGTATTGTCGCCACCGTTATTACTGACTACCGGGCTTTCACACACACGGCGGTTTCTGCTCCCACACACTAGCAGGCCTCTGTCTGCGGACTTTAAGGAAGTTTTCTTGCTTCCACATCAAGTCTGCGCTGACGTCAAGGAGCTCTCGGTAGAATGGCGGAAAGTTTTCAAAGTTAGAAACATTCAGTCTGACCTGAGCGCGTGAATCCACTCCGCCGGCGGCCCCTCGGACTGTAGACAACGGACTCGTTAACGGTATTTCAATTATTTCCCCGGTAGAAGGCAAATCCTTAGCAAGGGGAAAGGCCAGACAACGACTTTTTCTTAGTTCCCCTCCCTATCCGCTCAGCAGTAAACTCCACCCTGGCTCGCCGCGTCGCCCTGCAGCTGGGCGGTGTCGCACTTCAGCGGAGGTTTAAGTGCTGCGTGTTCAGTCAACTTGTGGCACTAATCCAGCAGTCAATTGTTCCTTAAGGGACCTCTTTTCTATTATTTATTAAACTGATGACCCCTGACTCAGTCACATATTTTATAAATATATCCTATTCTATTCAAAACTGTACAATGAACCCAAATAGTGAACTCCAAGAAGCCTGCATTATAGGGCTGATTTGGATTACTTTGTATACAATTCTCTCTGTATTATGTATTTTTTAAAATAATTTTTTACAATTATAGCTACATACTTAATAGCCTTCTTTTGTGACAAATTCAATGTTTTGTCATCCCTGATGCTTGGCCATTGTTAAACAGTTTACAGGTAAAGAGACAGAGACAGACAAAGGTGCACAACAACTACTATACTAATAGAAATGACTGATGATGATGATGATGGTGACGATGACAACAGCCACAACGATGGGGGATGGTGGACAATAATAGCCTACTAGTAACTATAATAATAATAATACTAATAATAATAACAATAATATCAGTGATATTAGCAATGGCAGTCAAGCAGGACCATGGCAGGAGGCTCCACCAGGATCCATGAGAACCTGCGAAACAAGAAAGCACAAGAACCCAAGGGAAGAAGTGAAGTTAGTAACATGCATTAATGGGACATGAATGAGTGCAGAAAGAGAGAGAGAGAGGAAGAGAGGAGCTCTGTGCATCATGGGAAATCCCCCGATAGTCCATGCCTATAGCAGCATAACTAAGGGATGGTTCAGGACTCACCTGATCCAGCCCTAACTATAAGCTTTATCAAAGAGGAATGTCTTAAGCCTACTCTTAAATGTGGTGAGGGTGTCTGCCTCCTGAACCACAACTGGAAGCTGGTTCCACAGGAGAGGAGCTTGGTAACTGAAGGCTCTGGCTCCTGTTCTACTTTTAGAGACTATAGGAACCACAAGTAGCCCAGCATTCAGAGAACGTAGTGTTCTAGTGGGGTAATAGAAGATATGAAGGGGCCTGACCACGAAGAGCTTTTTAGGTGAGGAGGAGGATTTTAAATTCTATTCTACATTTTACAGGGAGCCAGTGCAGAGTAGCTAGTACAGGAGAGATATGATCTCTTTTCCTAGTTCCTGTCAGTACTCGTGCTGCAGCGTTCTGAATTAATTGTAGCATCCTTATGGATTTATTGAGGCAACCTGATAGAATAGAATAGATACAATTGATCCAAGGACAGAACCTTGTGGAACTCCATGACTAACTTGGAGATAAACTAGTGTTTATGGAGGATTCATCGTTAACATGTACAAACTAGGAGCCTGGTTAGCTCAGTCGGTAGAGCTGGCGGCCTGAGTCCTTGCTGCAGCGGCCCAGGGCTCCATTCCGACCTGCAGCCCTTTGCTGTGTGTCATCCCCCCTCTCTTGGCCCCCACCTCTCCTCCACCGACACACTGAGCATCGGCTCCCCACAGGGCTGTGTGCTGAGCCCCCTACTGTACTGCCTCTACAGCAACGACTGCAGTTTGGCCCACAATGACAATCTCATCATCAAGTTTGCAGATGAAAATACAGTGGTCGGACTCATCTCTAAGGGTGATGAGGCAGCCTACAGAGAAGAGGTCCTGAAGTTGGCAGCCTGGTGTTCAGAGAATAACCTCGCTCTGAACACCAAGAAAACCAGAGAGATCATCGTCGACTTCAGGAAGCACAACACCGACCCAGCCCCCCTTTACATCAACGGCGAGTGTGTGGAGAGGGTCCACACCTTCAGGTTTCTCTGCGTCCTCATCTCCGCCGACATCTCCTGGACAGAGAATATCACGGCAGTCTCCAAGGAAGCTCAGCAGCGGCTACTCTTCTTGAGAGTCCTCAGGAAGTACAAACTAAACTCCAACCTGCTGCTGACCTTCTACCACTCATCCATCGAGAGCCTGCTGACGTACTGTATCACAGTAACGGCAGCTGCACCATTGCAGACAGGGAGAGGCTCCAGAGAGTTGTAAAGGCAGCACAGAGGATCATTGGCTGCCCTCTCCCCTCCCTGATGGACATTTACACCTTCCGCTGCCTCAACGGAGCTATAACCATCACCAAAGACAGCTCCCACCCTGGCTTTGACCTGTTTGAACTGTTGCCCTCAGGGAGGCACTACAGGTGCATTAGGACTAGAACAAATAGATTCAAGAACAGCTTCTTCCCAAAAGCAATAACCACCCTGAACTCTCACATGCACTGCTCTTAGTCCAACCACCCCAACCCCCGGACTCTTTTCAATCACTATTAAACACTGTTAGTTACTGTGCAATACCATTCAATGTGCAATATTCCACACCATAATGGGCAATATATATAATATATAATGTGCAATATATATATATCTTACACTGTATATAGCACCGTATTTATTTGCAAATGTACACACTCCTCAGGCCTGCACACCCTACCTCCCTTTGTTGTAATTATTACTTCATGTCCTGTGTTTATATTGTATATATCTTGGAAATGTACACACTCCTCAGGACTGCACACCCTACCTCCCTTTTTTGTATTTTTGTATTATCTCTTCATGTCCTATGTTTATATTGTATATACTTTGATAATTGTACTGTTTTTTTTGCACTGCCATTGGAGTTGGCTATTTAATCTCATCGTACATGTGTACAGTGACAATAAAGGCATTCTATTCTATTCTCTCTGCCCCCCTTTCCTGTTTGTCTTCAGCTGTCACTATCATAAAGGCAATACAAGCCCCCAAAAATACTTTAAAAAAAAACAAAACATGTACAAACTGAGAAGGATCTGATAAATAGGACTTAAACCAGTTTAGTGTGGTTCCTTTAATGCCAGTTAGATGGATCTGAGGTGAGGTATTGTGTTATTTCTTTCACAGGTAGAATACTCCCTGGGTTCTTAGTACATGTTCTTAATAAACAGCCAGTTATGCCAGTTAACCCACACTGACTGTTGTGGCCTCTAAACTAAAGCGCCTGTGTCTCATGAACAAGCCTCATATCCACAAACAAATTGTGTATGAATGAATTGCTCAGTTGGGTTTTACTGTTTTCCTTCTTGTCATTCTCAAAACCCCTTGATGTTGTGTACCTTTCCACTATTGATTGTGGTATCCTCTTAGCATTGTACACTAATCAATAAAGAGTTGTTGGCTAATCCCTCAGTAGTTAGTCTCCGATCTCATAAATGTGCAACATTTGTCAGTAAAAACCACAACAACAACAACAAAAAACAAGGCTGGCCTTCAATACCTCCTCATCAGAAACCGTAACCAGACCACAGATACAGCACAGAAATAGAACCAGCTTCTTAAAACATGTTTTAGCTGCTTAACAGTGAATGTGCTGCTGACTGAAAATGGACTGCTGCTATCAGTCACTGAAAAATATGCCCATAAACCCATGCTGCCATCATGTGGTACAGCTCAGGCATAGGGACTAATGTCTATAGTGGATTATCTATAGGTGCCTCTAGGCTGTCCACTCCTTTTTACTTGAAAAGTTTACAAACTTTTTTTTGTAAACAGCTCTTGTCAATCAGATTTATTTGTCTTTTTAATTTAGCCTTTCTGGGGCCCCCAGTCAGCACTTGATTTGTGTCACTCTGACAGAGAGGTTATCCAAATTAGATTAACAAAAGTGTACTACTACATCTATAGAAAGAAAAGCACCTCTAAAAATAACAAGGAAGTGATGTAAACACAAACATTCTGCAAAGAGAACAGGTTTTTTCTTACACAGGTTTAAATAGAAGTGATATTCCTACCTGAAAGCTAAGATGTAGCAGTCCACCCTGATGTCTTCAGCTGTATAGCTTTTTATAATCCTCATCGTCATCTGTCATCATCTATCAACTGTTCACTGAGGTTCTTTAATGGTTAGCTTAATTGGGAAAAAGTCTGTAGCTCTGCATTCATGATGATGGGGCTGCTGTGGCTCAGGAGGTAGAGTGGGTCGTCCACTAATCGGCTAATCTTTGACTCTTCTGGGGTCATAGTAAACCATTTCCTCCTAAATGGCAAGTCCCTAGCTAAGGGATTCCTTTTAAACGGATAGTTAAGGTTTTATGAGGTAGTTATCCATAGTCAGTGTGTTACCTACAATAGAGTATACCAGCATGGAAGCTAAGCGATGTACTGCTGTGGACAGGAGCAGCAACAAAACGCAGGGACAACAATAAAAGTTGATTTTGGCTGCACAATGAATAAATCATACACACAGCACTTTTGTTGAATGACCATTTAATCTGAATCTACACATTTACACAAACTGGATAGAATTAATATGAGACATCCATTCATCCATATCTACATAGCATAAATAATCTTTAACTTTGTATTGTACATTACCATCAACAGTGGTAAAGATCATGTGAGCTCTGAGACCCTACAAACATACACAACACAGATGTAATGTTACTCTCACAGAGACCTTGTGTGCATTTGTGAAACTGGTTAGCAAGGCCTGACTACAGAGGAACCAACTCTGACTGTACAATTAAAAAGAATATCTGTACATTATTAGAAGAGCTTTGTCTGTTTACACTTCATACATGCTTATTGTAAGGCTTCTTAAGAACGTAGTCAGCTTGACATCAACTGTCCCGACTCCTCCAATCCCTGTGTGCAAGTCTATGAGCCAGTCCAGCCATCAGCAGGACCACACCAACAATGACGCTTTCTGCCTGAGCTCGGTCTGCTTCGACATTTGGTTTCTTGTTGCTGACGCGGCTATTGTCAAATCAATATTAAAACAGGAAAAACAAAAAAAATGCTGACATAAGACATACATCTGTTCAGTTATGTTTGTTGCATTTAAATGTCCTGACCTATAACTTGAACAAAGCCCTTTGACATTAAGGCTTTAGTATGAATTAATACACTTGAAACTTGAAACTGATGAGGAAAGACACTGGAACACTGCAGCTCACATTCACAGCAGCTGTTTCACTGATTGATATAAATGTGCAGCAGTTTGGTGTAATGAGGAGAGACGACATTCAAACTGTAGCAATCACTGCCTCAACTCTTGCATAATGGTCCGTAATTAATTGTCTGATATAGTGTAGAGTATGTTTTCCTGTAGAATATTACAGCTTCAGGGGCTGCTTTAGAGCTTTTTTTAATGAGGCAGAGCAAACGCCGCTCAGTGCATCTGCTCCCTGGTCCCTCAGCTATCCATCATCTCATCTGCATTCAGTTTAGTGTCTTTAGAGTGAAAACTGGAGCAAAGTCATATTATGTTTGTAGGACAGGTGAGGAACCTTTGATCTGGCAATTTCTACAGGAATTAATCACACAGACTTTTAACATGACACTGCTCATATTTAAACTTTAAACTGGTCCACCTCTCTAAAGCTAATGTAGTCTAATCAAACAGTCTCTGCAATAAATCTACCTCCTTCAAGGTTCTATGGTTTTGTTTGTGAGAGGTGGTGGTTAGTCGTTGTTAGTTTAGAAAAGTCTAAAGCCACACACCAGGTGTGTTCTAATGCCGAGCAACATTACAATAAGAAAAGCTGCAGTCCAACTACTGCAGTCCATAATGTTGTGATGACAACATTTTTCAAATAACTTAGTGGGTATTTTTCTCTTCCTCCATTATGTTGTACCATTTCAGTACATGTTACTGTACTGTACATGTGGTTGCAGTGAAAGACAAAGACGCTACATGTGACATTGCAAAGTGGTTTGGAAAGAATTTGGGCTGTAACTGATAATTAAATGCATTCGGATAAATCATCTAGTCTGCAAAAACATCTAAAAAACATTGTCAAAATGTCCAGCTCCAGTTCCCATAGTCCAAGGTTACATCTTCAAACATTTTATTCTGTTTGAGCGTAGTAAAGAAGTAGTAAAGTATTCGGTTTATATTTAAAAAGCAGACTGAGAAGCTGAAAACAGAGAATGTTGGCATTTCTGCTTAATGTATTGGTTACACAATGAATCCCTCCACAAACATTTTCTGACAATCAACTTTTGATTAATCGAATCATTATTTCATCATCACAAAAAAATAAATACAAGTATTACAAAGTATGTTGTAACATATGCTGCAGTATATCTTCTCAAGCTGTTTTTTTTATGAATTTTAAAAACAAACAGAGCTGATGACTTAGGAAATAAACCTGACATAGAACAGCAGCAGCTACTCACTGTGTCACATTTCTCAATGACATTTCATGGCAATAAAAGGCAAAAACTAATAGAACATTGGTGTTACCCAGAATAGCTTCACTTGAACATGTATGGAAGAGAACCGTGTTCTGTTTGAGGATCACCACCAAGTATGAGACAGCTGACATCTTCTGTGAGGATGAACATTTCTTACATGTTGACTACATTAGCTCAGCTACAGCAGTCAACCAGTTTAAACCCCACCCACTGTCACATGATGAACTGTAGAAAAATGACCTTGTCACTGAGGTATTGAACACAAACAGAAAAGTGGGGGTCTGATTTCCCCCTCACGCTGGGTTGCTGTGGCGGCAGCAGCAGCAGCAGCAGCAGCACTATTTTGCACTATATACATTAACACAGTTCAGGCCAACTTCCCCATGTTCTTCTAATCAGCAGGAGGTCTGAGGCCAAATGAATGATGTCCATTTCCTCTTCCTGTCACTGGCTGCCAGCTGCCAGGAGGAAGTCTGCTTGTTTAACTTGCTTTGAGGAAATGTCTGCCTGTACTCCTCCCAAATATACAACTGTCAATTTTGCACAAATGCAAAAGGGAAATGTGTAGAAAAAAAATGATTGCTAAAACAAATTTATTGTTATCAAAATAGACTCAAATGTGGAATTTACTGTCCAACACTACATGTGGACAATAGGGGGATGATGGGAAAGATGCAGGCAGTGTAGGAGTGTCTACAGCTGTCCACAGGCCTCCACTGCTTCACCCTAATTAAGTTTAACGTATAATGATTCTAGAGGCGACACTGTTGTCTCCTGCTAGCCTTCTGACCTCTAGCGTTGTCCAGTTATTACAAACTGTTGGACCTCGATAACTCTCAGAGGTAAGCAGAGTGCTGTCAGTTGCTGACGGCAGCGTCAGGGCTGGCGGTGGCTGTAGGGATGCGAGGCATCTTCTTGGCGGGACTGGGGATATGCTGGAGGAGGAAAACAGGCTGTAAACATCATGAATGAACTGTTGGTTTATAAAGCACTCAATGGTACAGGGACAAAATACACTTCTCATCTGCTGCTCTATTGTAAACTATCCGGACCTCTCAACTTGTCAAGCAGGGCTAAAGAGTTTTTTGTTTACGACTGCAATTTGTTAAATTACATTTGTTCATATCTTGCACACTGTAATATTCATTTTCCTGTTCTATTCTATTTTAGCTTATATTTTCTTTTTCAAATAGAAAATGTACAATATTTGACATTCATCTTTAATATTTTCCTTTGGTTACTATAGAAAGTTACAACAAGATATTTCATGTAACTATGAGCCAAGAATTTAAAATGCATCAATGTATGATGTTGTTTTAAACAGTGCTGTCAGTTTAACGCGTTATTAAAGGCGTTAGCGCAAACCCATTTTAACGGCGTCAATTTTTTTATTGCGAGATTAACGTTCTTTTTGGCCTAGCACACTTTGTAGTTTGTTTCACATGCTGTTGCAACAACTAGTATCGTTAGAAAAACTACAACGCCACACCGGATCTAGCTAGACCGGAAACAAAACAACAGGCACGCCGCACACACTTGTTTAAGAGTAGTAGACGTTAGGTTTTGAGTGGATGGCGAGCGCGAGACGCCGAAATGGATGGATTCCTTGTTGTCTGAAAATGTCAACAGGCTTGTCTGTTTGAGTAACTGGCTCAAAGCAAAGAAGTAGTAGGCTTACCTTTTATTGGTAACCGTTACTGTTCATTCTTTCTGAAATAAGAGGCTGGGTTGAGCCTCTGGTGAATAAAGAGCAGTAGTCTGACTGCTATGTTCAAAGCAAACTTGAGAAAAGTATTAAGCCATGGTTTAACTGCACTATAGGCTGAGTCCTAGTTTACCTTACATGTGCACTTTGTAATTTTATTTTGTATCACCCTGTTTTGATCCCTTAGAAAGGGCTGTTGAAGGGGCTGTTTGTGTGACAAAGTATTTTTTTCACCCTTTTAATGATGGACAGTGTTACATTGTGTGAGAGATTATTTGCTCCAAGTCAGAATGTTGAAGGAAATTGAACACTACATTATATGCCAATGTTGTTTTTATTGAAAACAACATTTGCACAAAGCAAGCCGATCCACTTTTTTTATGTTGATAAGAGCATTAAAATGAGAAAAAATAATGGGACAAAAAGAAATCAAGGGACATTTAGAATAGATAAAAATGTGCAATTAATTGCGAGTTAACTATGACATTAATGCGATTAATCGCGATTCAATATTTTAAATTGTTTGACAGCACTAGTTTTAAAGGATCATTCTGGTTGACAGGGTTTCTGAAAACTTTTAAGACCATTATGAATGCAACTTAAAACCTATTGTATAATAGGTTTTAAGTAAACCCATACTGACAAAAATTAGTATGAAAGATATGAAGGAAAATTGGTATTCATTCCATGTCAGTTTTTTGTTGTTGTTTCAGCATGACCAATACTAATTATTCTTAAAAGGAATTTAAAGCGAGACTGAAAAATGCAAGTTTATACAATTTATATTAACTTTATTAATCCTGGCATTAATAGCTTTCAAAATCCTATTTATGACATTTTAAGGCCTAAAATTCAGATGATTGAATTTTAGACTTCAAGACTTTTTAGGAACCCGGGAGTCTATCACAACTGGGTGAATAAAATGTTGCTATCACTGACAGAAAGGCAAAACTACAAATATAAGACCAGTAAGAAGATGAATTATCCTGGACTGGACACACTTCTTCACATGTAAATGGTAAATGGACCTGTACTTGTATAGCGCCTTTCTAGTCTTCCGACCACTCAAAGCGCTTTTACACTATGTGCCACATTCACCCTTTCACACACATTCACTCAGTGATGGCAAAGTTCATCAAGCAGAAACTAACATTCATACTCATTCACACACCGATGCACGGCATCGGGAGCAATTTGGGGTTCAGTATCTTGCTCAAGGATACTTTGACATGTGGCACCAGGAGCTGGGGATCGAACCCACAACCTTCCGATTTAGGAACGACCCGCTCTGCCTCTGAGCCACAGCCGCCCCCTTACATGTACACCCATTCATCAGTTTCTTCCACCTGCTGGTCAAATACTGCATTTAGATTCCTGTGATCTACATTAATGTTCAAAGTAGGGGCCTGTGTTTATTCATCCCATACCTCAGTGGCACCACTGGAGCGAACAAGTTCTGGTTCTGCTGGCAGGTCATCGTCCAGAGGTCTTCGGGCATATTCCCTGCGGTGTTTGTCATCCACCCGTGTCAGGTACCACGTCCCTGGGAACAGATCCTCCACTGAGCCTCGAGGGATGTAGGGAGCTGTACAATACACAGATTGGAAAAAAATCATCATAGTGAAAGCAAGCAGTAAGTCAGTGAGTGCAGGCACCATCTCAAGGCTCCTGTGGTCAGAGTTTGGGCCAGTACACAGTGTTCTTACTGGAAAAGTGCACTTTTTTTCTGGCTAATGACAAGAATTTTATTGCAAGGTGAAGTTAACCTCAGCTCTTATATTACTGACAAAACACAGATCTCCTGCACAACTACAAAACAAGTGCTCAAAAAAGCACATCAGTGACCCCACGTGTCTTTATGACCTCTCTGAGCTAATGCCATCAGAAATATGTTTGAGCTTGTCTCTATGTAAAACAAACGGAAATGTGTAAAAGAGAAGTCAGTTTACTTTGTGTTCCGACTGACTAATGCATTTGCACTTTCTGACTAAATGTGCCCTCATGCTGTTTGACAACGTTGCAATGGACTCTACCATTAATCCATGTGACTTTAAAACTTGCATGTAGACTGAACATTTTGTTTTTGTGGGGTTTTTTGTTTGACAACCAGCCTTAAATTTCCCCTTAGGGGATGAATACAGTATTTAGAATGAACCCTTCATAAGACCTGCCCCATTTCACTCTGTGAAACTTCCTCCTTTCCTGTACTTAGATATGCTATGTGCTAGGCTTGTCTATGTTGAAAAGACACATTTTGAAGATTGTTAGAAGTAAAAACGTTAACTAATGTTTGCAGCTAGGCAGCTAATCTACATCAATTGTAGCTTTCTAGTAACATCTCAAAGCTAAAGTTGGCAAAATGCTAGCAAACTAGCTAGTTAATTTACATAAGTCATTAGCTAACTTTTTTTTGGCCTTTTGTTGGCTTTATTGATAGTGACAGCTGTAGATAGACAGGAAAGGTGGGTGGAGAGAGAGGGGATGACACGCAGCAAAGGGCCAGAGGTCGGATTCATACCCGGGCCGCTGCAGCAACGCAGTATATGGGTCGCCAGCTCTACCGACTGAGCTAACCAGGCGCCCAGTCGTTAGCTAACTTAAGATGTGTCTATATAGCAACATACACATAGACAGTCACAGCTCATGTTAGCAAAATGTTATGATGACGTAAATAAGCTATTGTTAATATTAGTTGGCTGTCACTATGTAGTCACATCTGAAGATAGCCAGCATATCTAAGTACCGGAAAGTAGAAAGCTGACCGAGGTTCTGACAGTACAGCCTGAAAGTAGCCCCTAAAAGTTAAATATTCAATAGTCAGTTCTTCCCCAGTATATTGGATCAACAGTCCAATAGTGATGTAATTGTGACTACTCAAAAAACTTCCATGGGTACAGAAAGCATAAGCACCCACTGCACCCATTGTTTTTAGCTTCACTTCCAGACAGACTTGTGCGAGCAGCAGGGACAACAGAATCATACCTAAATGGTGTGTCTCCTCTCTCAGCTTCATGTTCTCAGAGAAGACAGCAGGCAAAACCTTCTTCCTCGAGTCCAGTCTGGCCTTCAGGTCACTCAGGCTCGACACAAGTTTGTCCAGACTGGATCCTGAAACAAACGGTCAACAAATCACAAGGAAGAACATACAACCATTTGTTTCTACAATTTGATCATGACTATACATTCTATTTTCATCCATATCACACAACTGAACTGAACTCTGGCTGACCTACCAGGTGTATGGTCCTGTGTGACTCTGAGAGAATACAGAGTGGCAGCAAATCCTGAACCATATGAGAAAACGCCAATCCTCTGTCCTGCTATCTGCAAAGGTGTTTGTCTGTAACACAGAGGCAGCAGAGATTCTCTTTTTGTTTAATCAGTCATGCCCAAAATAGAATTTTGAGATGGTTTGTTTCCCATGTTGTTTATCTGAGTTGTTTTAAGTTTGTTTTAGGTTGGTATTGACAAATTCCCGGAGGGACGGTATTTTACCGTTTCTTGTGAGCATGATTGCAAGTAGGTTACAGTCATATTTCCTGAAACTTTCACTATATCCTGCAGCTTTAAATATAGCAGATGAATGAATGAAATACAGACAGAAGTCAGAACTGAGACATACTGTGCAATAAGTGAGGCCAGGCAGCCGTAGACAGAGGGGGTGTACATGTTTCCATTCTCGTTGGAAATCAGCAGGGAGCTCTTGGTCTTCCTCTCAAACAGATCTGCACTGGCCTTCATGAAGGCCTTCTCCACATCCCGGTCAAAGTAAGTCTCTTCTGGCTTTACATCTCTGCAATACACACACAGACACACAGACACACACACACACACACACAATTAACAACAGAATAACCACTTGTGTTGTCATAGTCAGAGTCTCGACTCTGACTTGGCACACAAACCCAGAGTGGCAGGATTTTTTATTTCCATTAAAACAGGTCTAAAACAGGGCTCTGCCATGTGATGGTCGCGAGAGCTAAGGATTGACTGCAGAGCGGGAGCGGCGTTACGAGTTGGGTATGTTTCTGCTGTCCAACTATTCTAGTTCGAGAGTACCTGAAGACGTCCAAGCCAGTGAAGGGTCCCGTCACAGTGTTTGGGCTGGGGTGGCTCAGAAAATCATTCAGCATAAGTCTAGCCAATGACTTCTGCACCAGCTTGCAGTATGGAGAATGGAAGACGAGATAGCCAAAGTCATCCAGGCTGAAACGCTTCTCTGAACCCTCTGTCAAGAAAAAGAAGAATGATTAGACCACCTAAGCCTGGAGAAAACACTGTGACTTTCCATTTCATTAGCACAGTTGAAAAGAACAGTGAGAACAGTTTTTACACAAATACCACTTGGCCTTGCTGTCCTTTATCTAAATACAACTGTCATCTTCAATTCAATTCAATTTCATTTGTATAGCGCCAAATTATAACAGAAGTTATCTCAGGACACCTTTCAAATAGAGCAGGTCTAGACCGAACTCCTTATAACATTATTTACAGAGACCCAACAGTACCACCATGAGCAAACACTTGGCGACGGCGGCAAGGAAAAACCTCCTGTTAAAAGGCAGAAACCTAGGAAAGACTCTAGGTGGGTGGCCATCTGCCTCGACCAGTTTGGGTGCGAGAGAAAGAGAGAGAGAGAGAGAGAAAATGGGGTAAAGACAGAAGGACACAGACACTCTCTCACAAAGGTGCACAGCAACAACAGTAGCAACAACTACACTAATACCAGTGACTGATATGATAAGGACGACGACAACAATGATGGGGGACAATGAGCAGTGATTATAGTAATAATAGCATCAGTAGTAATAACAATAATATCAGTGATATTAGCAATGGCAGTCAAGCAGGACCATGGCAGGAGGCTCCACCAGGATCCATGAGAACCTGCGAGAGGATCTTGTTGCACCTTTCCTCCCACCTCTGCAACATACACACTGCGCTAGGAACAAAAACACCACCATGACAAAGCTGATTTCAAGGTCAAGAACACATCACCTCGTCAAAGACCTGATGTGCTGTGTCTTTGCAGGGTCGTGGATACACAGCCCATTACAGTGTTTCCTCTATGTTGATTTTGGAGCGACGGCCCGCCGCTGTTAAGTTTCTGCCACCACGGTATCAGAAATGGGGCAGACGCACAATGTAGTCACCGTTGCCTTTTAAATGATCCTGCCGACATAATGCACCCCTGCTGGCTGCCGCTCACATTGCAATTTAACAACAAGTAGAACTATTCAGAGGTTATTGGGACTGTCCAGTTTAACTCCACATACTGTTGTGTTGATGCAGCTTATTGTCAAAACGTTCGCTTGCTTCCAAGTCAACTATTAAACTAACAGCTCTACCAAAAACGTCACCGCGGTGGGTCCGTTTTAATTGGACAACGTTCAACTTGTCAGTTCTCAGCTCAACGTCCTGATATCAAACCTCTGAAAACATTAAAACGGTAAATATATTTGTGTTTCATACGTAAAACGTTTGCCGGCTGGACGGGACGGGGACGAGACGGGACGGGACGGTGTGTTCGGACGGGCCTGCCCCCACTGGTAAAAAAAATCCTAGAGGAAACACTGCTATTATATCAAGGCCGGAGAGTAGAACTGGAAAAGTTTATAATGTGTCTTTAATAGCCTCATCTTTTCAAATATTTTAGACGTTGACACATCAGGTTAAAGGCTGAGCTCATTAAACCATTTCATGGTCACTGAACTTAGGTAAACTTCTTAGCACGGCAAGCAGGTAATGTCCTAAACCCTCTTAACTAATTAGGCCATTATCCGACCAGTCCCTCCACTACACTCCCCTCCACATGCATGATGCGACAGCACCTTTCCAACAGAAAGGTATTCCAACTATTAAATAAAACAGGCAGGGCTTGAAATATAGGATGTGTCGTGGTCCAACAGACAATAAAAATAGCACCTGGGACAATTCTAGGACAGTAGGGAAACTTACAAATTATAAATGTAATTATTATGTTTATCCACATGGAATATATATATCGTTTAATGGTTAGGGAAAATGTGCAGTGGCATCGGCACAAGGGCCAAGGTCTCTCTCTTGTGTTCTCTGTGTTCCTTTAGCTTGAAAGTAAATAGTTAGTTTTAACTTATCCCTCCCTTTGTACTTTTTTAACTTAAAACATACACCAATCAGCCATATCATTATGACTACCTGGGTCCCCTGGTGGTCTCCTAAGTTAAGTTTATATCTTAAATAATTTAAAGGTAGTTTTTTTCTTCACAAAAATGAATAAAATGCTTAGATATAGGCCTGCTGTGTACATTTCTAAATAAGTTTTCTTACACCTTGTGGTCTTGCGAACCCCTGTGAAGCTTTAGTAAATGGTAAATGGACCTGTACTTGTATAGCGCCTTTCTAGTCTTCCGACCACTCAAAGCTTTTACACTACGTGCCACATTCACCCTTTCACACACATTCACTCAGTGATGGCAAAGTCCATCGAACAGAAACATTCATATACATTCACACACCAATGCACAGCATCAGGAGCAATTTGGGGTTCAGTATCTTGCTCAAGGATACTTTGACACGTGGCACAAGGAGCCGGGGATCGAACCCACAACCTTTCGATTAAGGAACGACCCACTCTGCCTCTGAGCCACAGCCAACACTTTGGAACATCTGAGGAGAAGTCTATAGTGATGATAGACCATTTTGACCCACCTCTTTGCCACTGTGCGTGGATCTTGTTGCGATACACAGAGTAGCAGTGATCCAAGGCACTCAGGTAGCACTCTATCGACAGCTTGCCGTCGACCACAGGGTACTCGGACATCAGGTCTGGCTTGTAGAAGTCATATGCATGCTGCATGTGGGTTCCTCGCAGACCTGCACCACACAGCCACAACAGTTATCAACATCACTCTCACACTCAATTCAGCTTTTTCCATACATACATACATGTATGACTGCACTATCTACACTAAGCTGGCTGAATTTCAAACACATCTTTTCATATCTGTTTAATGCCCTTATACAAGTATTGTTCTTAACAAACTTCCCCACAGTGACCGAGCTAGTTTCTGGTATCTGGATGTAGACCTAATAAACGCATATAATAACTTATTTAAGAGTGCACATTGTAAAAAACGCTCTATGGTGAAAAGAAATAAAATAATCACAGAAGAAAACAGAGAGCCTGGCTCTTAAACAGAGGTTACTTCCAAGTGTTAATATTCATCTCAGTTCTGAATGGCCGAGAAGATTAAATCAAACCATGACATGGTACAAAGATTAAGTAATCAGTAACTCTGATGATGGGATCAGCGAGATAACAGGGGAGTCTTGTCAAAAAGTCATTGAAGAGTGTTGCCTGACAACTTGAGCACAACAAACACAAACACTGAACTGACCTCGCTCGAAGGCCAGAGGAGCATTGGGCCCGACCAGCATGGCGACAGCACCAGCACCCCCTGTAGGCCGGGCACTTCCTGTTGCATACACAGCGATGTCCCCTGCTACTACCAAAGCGTAACGGCCTGCACAGAGGAAACCTGAGTGATCATCATATACACAAACACAAGTTATATACATTAACACAAGTTTGTTCACTCACCATCCCAAGAGCTGGACTCCACCCAGTTGACAGCATTAAAGAGTGCAGCTGTGCCGCCATAGCAGGCGTTTGTTGTGTCAATGCCTTCCACATCTGTATTTCCAGAGTCTTCAAACAGCTGCATGATGACAGTCTTGACAGACTTGGACTTGTCAATGATGGTCTCAGTGCCAACCTCCAGTCGACCCACACTGTCATAGGACAGACCATTCCTCTCCATCAGCCTCTGGACCACCGTCAGGCACAAAGAGTTGATGTCCTCACGGTCTGAGCAGAAGCCCATACGAGCCTGGCCTAGGCCAACAGTGTATTTACCTGCTGACACGCCGTCAAACTGCTCCAGCTCGGCCTGATCAACATACTGGGACGGGAAGTACAGTTCCATGGCAATGATACCCACATCTTTGGGCCATGGTCCCAAACAACTGATTGAGGCTGATCCAGGCATCCTGGACACATTGAGAAGGGGTTTCATGTTCAACATTTATTAATTTGATAAACATGTTGGAGTACTGCAACACTGAAACGTCTACAGTAATTAAGCTGGTGCCTGCATAGCCACCACTACTCAAAGCTACACATATACGCATATCAACTGTAATAACATTATTAAGTAACGGGAAGGTCAAAGTGCACCTTAATGACTCTGCTTGAAGAATATTAGCCACTATTTACAGTGATCAGTTACACCCACATAGAACAACAACTACGTTAGAAGAATATCAAAAAGGAGAGTGCCATGAACACTCCTGTACAGTTTTGGATCTTCTATCCTTATCTTTATTTATTTATATTTTACATATATAATATTCTTTATTTTTGTGTGATTTGTATGCACCAATGCACCAAGACAAATTCCGTGAACGTGTAAAAACTTACTTGGCAATAAACCCAATTCTGATTCTTAAAATATATATTTTTCTTCCACTGGACATGTTTTTAGATAACTCCTCAGTAAACTAGAACCAAGCTAAGAACACTGGAGATTAGATTAAAAATGATACGTTAGGTAACATAAGACTTTGTTTCGTTGTTCCACTGTTAGCTTAGAGATCTTACAGCTAACATTATTTAGCTAATGTAAGGTTAGCGTAGTTATCTGAGAAGGTTACAGAGAATTTGCACCAATTAGCATGTTAGCTAGGATTGTTGCACTAGCACTATGACACTTTATTTATTGCGGTGCCTTTTGCTTTACTAACCAAACTAACGAAACGCCAGGCTTGTTGTACATACCACAGGCTAACAATAAAGACAGCAAACAGTATGCAAATTGGCTAACGCTAGCTAGCTAATTAAAATGTATAAGTAGGACATTTTCATAACTAACGTTAGCTAACGTTAGATTAATGTGGCATTTGTTAGGTCTAAAGGTTGACAGCTATGTTAGCAGTTACCTAAATTAGCTACATAAAGCTTATGCTTGTTTTTAATGATTTAATAACAGTGTAGTAATATTACAACACCAGCAGATATGGATAGAGGACAGCAGAACTAGGTGAAAGGGCAACGGGATTTCCTGGAACTTAAGTCGTTTATGTCCGGCCGGTACTGAAATCTGTACATAAGTTAACCCGTTAGACTCTGTGGTACTTGTTACGTATATAACAATGGTTTGAAACACCCTATAGCGGGGTAAAACCCATATTAAAGACACTGACTTTGACAGGTCATAATACTGAGTGACAGCATGATTTCGGACAGCTAGAGTTACATTTCTATCCGGACAAAATAGCGGACGGACTCGCTTCCTATCCAACTCATGGGTCTAAAATGTACCGACAGCAGCACGATTGAACGTTAGCTCAATTGCTTGTTGTGGCATTTGTATACCAGCCGTGTAAGCAATGTGCTAGCTAACTTTAAGTGAGTAACTTAGCCCTGAACACATTTCTCATTATCCTAAAATTAGACACAAACAGCCCAGATGACAGGCATCCGACGGAAGAAACATATGAAGCAGCAGGCTGTACATGAAGCCTCTCACCTGTGTGTGAAGTTAACCCCAGCGATGGTAAGAGTAAGTACTCCGTTGTTATTTGTATTCAGCCTACCAGCCTTTGCCAGTCCGGTAGAAGTGTATTTATATACGACGATGAAGAAGCAGCGTACACCCTGCACTACAGCACCTGGCTTCCCGTCCAATCACAGCTCACAGGCGACATGCGGCGCTACCAAGTCCCGCAGGTTTACGGCCAATCAGAGATTAGGAATCACAACCACGCGCCAGAGCCGTACCAGCGGTCCAATGGGGTGATATGAACGATGTCTGGTGAGGGAAAAGCAACCAATCAGAGCGGGAGAGTAATTCCTGGCGCGGTAGACACAACAGAGGGCAGCACTGCGTGACCATGGCAACAGGCATCCATTCATACAGTCAGTGGGTTTGCTGTCCTGCCTTTTAGAGCCTATAATTTTAATAATTTATAAAAATGATTTGTAATTAATTTCATAATGATCAGTGGTCAGGTACTAATAATCCAAGCACGTTATTCCAAAGAAATGTAATGAGACATTTAAAACACATCAACAACCTTTTGTAGTATAATTCCCGAGTTATTTCAGTTCTTCTCATCTGTGAAAGTTCATGCAAAGCTTTTGTGTCCTTATCTGATGAGAGCCTTGTTTTTTAAAAATTACTAAATTAAAGCATGGATGTCTTTTTGTATATATTGTGTTTGTTGTTGTCTTTATTTTATCTTTATTTAAAATTTTCTCAGGCCTACATATTTCCTGCCAAATTGGATTATTAAATAACAAAACGCTGTTCACAGTAAGTTTGAGTACCTGAAAATACTTAAGTACAGAACTTGTGTAAATTATTTTGTATTATGAAAAAATAACTCACTAAGACATTCTGACAGTTTTCTCTACAGTAGTCACACTTTGTAGTTAAATTTGTCTTGATTTAGCTGACTTTGACCTTATGACCATATCCATCAAATTCACATTGCACACATAAGATAACAGATGATAACAAATAAAATAAACAAAAGTACACATAGCGCTTGTTTCATACATTATACTCAGTGTTTATTCTTATTTAGTGTTGTTTCTCAGCAAACATGTAACCTTTAATTTGCTGAAGGTTATTTTTAACAACTTTTATATAACTGTGGGGTAAATTATACATTTCATACACATAATCGTGATTTATTGCACATGCTTTTGTAATCTTGGTTAATTCCTATTGTGATTGATTGAATATAATGTAATAATGTTTATTTCCGATTAAGTTTAACTATTCAGATTATTGTAATTGTAACCTTTACTCGAGTGAACTTTAGTGCTACTTTGAAATAAAAATATACATTTGGATGGTCATAAAGTAAGCTTGAAATGCTTGAAACACAGGTGGCTCATTTGCTCAACAGTCAAGGTCAGGACAGATAGTGACACAGCCCTGAATAGGCTAGAGGGATGAGATAAGACCCTTTGAGGTATAAAAAGGGTGAATGATATCTCTTTGTGTGCACATTATGAAATATACTTTGTTTTGTAAGAGATTTTAGTCTTGTTCCTCTGTTGAGTTGAATTGCAGAACTGCCACAATAATAAAACACTGTAAAAAATGTCTGTAGTTTCGATGGTGAAAAACTGTCAAACCATGACAGTAAAATACCGCAAACTTGAAATAGGTTAAAGTTTCTGTAGCAGTAAAACACTGTGAACTCTTATGGCAAAAACCTTTAATTATACATTTATACGGATTAAAGTATTTTTTTTATATTACAGACTGTAAATTGCACAGAAAATCACTGTCATTTTCATTTGGTAAAATGATATGCATTAAAACCAAAAATGAACACTACTAAGATCCTTTTACTGTAATATTAGAATATGTTCTAATGTATTTATTACGGTGAAGTTCTTTTTGCAGAGAACCTCTAGGGCACATCTCCTGAACGTTCATAGACAGTTATATTTGTAAAGCTGAAAAAAGTTAAACATTTAATTTCAGTTCATATAGTACAAAGGTTTTCTGGATTTTAATGGGTGAAAGAGAACTCAAAAAAAATTACCTAACAGGCCTATATCTCAGCCTTGTGTTTATTTCTGTGTCAAAAAAGAAGCCTATTATTTCTGTATGATTGATAAAAATGATAAAAATACATAATGCAGACAGAGAATTGTATAAAAATATAAAAATTCATCCAAATTGTGTGTTTTACACAAACTTCCTGCAGTTATTGAGTCTGTTTGGGTTCACTGTACAGTTTATCAGTTGTTCTCTACTGGTATTGTGATACATTGAATATAATATAAAATATACATAAAATATGTCACTTAGTTACTTTACTCAATGATGGAAAAAGGTTAGGAACCACCAATATAGTTGATCGTACTTACCGTATTACAGTATAATAGTTATACTAGCCTACTGTACTGTATACATAGATAAATACATACATACATACATACATACATACATACATACATAGCCTGAACTATTAAATATATAGCCTGAAAACATGAATCAGTATACACATTTAAAAAAGTGAATAATGAACAGGTTATTGAGTTATTGTGATTAAGTCAGTGTAACCATACATACCATAGTAAATTCTCATAAACATCACAAATGTTTATATATCACGAATACCCTTTTGACTGGAGAGGGACTTTAAGAACTGCTGTTAATTGTTTAGGGTGGCTGTGGGTAACTGTGACAGTGACTGTCACAGTTATCTTTGGGCCAACTTGCACTACTTCAGTTCTTCCTTCAGTCCATGAGGAGGAACCACAGAGAGCTGGAAAAATGATGCGTCTGATTGTTGTGGAACAAAACACACATATCTTATTCAACTTAACTAAACTTAAGTTAAGTACATTTAAGTTTATACATAATACAGTTGATAGGGTATAAAGATGAAAGTTAGATGTGCAATTTTTGGAATATAATACAGTCTAATCAGTATTTCTAAATCAAGATTTGCATTAGAAAGGAATGGATATCTAAGCTGGTGAAGATATCATTCACAGTCCAGGAGCTGGACACAGTATCTTGTACAGTGTGATGTAGAAACCTGAAGCCACCAGTGCACATCCACTGAGAATGGACTTTACAGTGAAGTAGGAGACATCTTGGGTCCAGCAGGAAAACTTGAACAACATGTGCATATTCAGAGATTCTGGAATTTTTAGTGAGGTAGAAGGAGTAGATTACTTTTTAAGGATTTGAATGTGTAAATTATACTTTTTTAGCAGAAAAACCTATTAGACACACATTATCGTTCCAACTAGAACAATACATGTCTGAAGGGGGTCTTTAAATTGGTGGATTGTCTGGTGTACTTTGACAGATTACAAAGGGATGACGTTACCTTCCATGGTGTCCAGCATGTTGCACCGCCCTGTTTCTACAGTAGCCCAGAAAGGACAAACCAAACACTGGCTCCAAAAAGGACTGCAAAATGCACAGCCACTGTAATTTCACCTGTGCTTGGAAAGGGAGGAGGAAGCAAGTGAGTTGCAATCTGCAACTACAGCGCTAGATGCCACTTAATCCTATACACTGGCCCTTTAATAAAGATTATCCTGCTGTATTTTGTATCACTGTATCCTGTGATTATTTAACGGTTCTAACTTAGTTGCAGCCTGCCACACTGGTACAAACCCACACTTATTTCAATATATTATCAGAAAAAAGTCAGAATTTAAAAGTTACTAAAAGAAAAAAAAAAGTGAAGAACTCCTTTAATTACAAAACAAAATAAGAATGTTTGTAAAAGTATCTATAGTTAGTTATAGTAACTATAGTTTCCCGACTAACAAGACATCATCATGATTTAATCATAATCATCATAATGTGGATGGATGCATATAGGCTACCACTAACAGTGATGCTTACTTTTGTAATCACAGACTATGAAGTTATTTATGGACACACACACACACACACACACACACACACACACACACACACACACACACACACACACAACTGCGCTATCTACTATATCCACCAGAGGTCCCTGATTCCCTGCTTTTGAGAGTTGAGTTTGTGCAGCTGTCTCTGCTCAAATTGCTCATCAGCCTGTGACATTATATCCAACCATGATGACTTTTAGCAGAGTTCCTGCCAGAGTTTTTGTCTTAGCCTGTCTTCATGTTTATAGTGTTTGCTACTGACCAAAGTATAGCTCTGAATAGATTCCCCTATCTGCCACCATTACCTACCTGGAGGTAATTTTCCATTTCATATCAGTCTAAAGATCTGTAAAATACTCTAAGCATTTTAATGCTATTGACAGTGGTTCTGTTGACTACAGCTACTTTAAAGGACCAATGTGTAGGATTCAGTAGCATTGAGCGGTAAAGTAGCATATTGCAACTGTCAATACAGCTCACCCTTCCAGGCTTGAAGGAGAAACTATAGTGACAGTGAAACTAGTGAAAAACGTGTGTTTCTCAAACCTTTTACAACACTTACCACCTCAGAAAATATCAGGCTCTTTATGTACTACCATTATGACCAGCATTACAGCACTGTAGGACGACCCTATTATGCAATGGATAATTATCACAAGAGGCAGGTTTATTTATTGTTGAATGTTGTTGAATCCTGAACTGAACGAGTTCAAGAACCAGAGCTAATTTAGTGGAAAGGGGGAACTCCTGGTCTGCAATTCTCTTCCTAATAGTTCCCATTTGGAGCCACGATTGCAGTGTTTTTTGACCATTAATTTGACCTCCGCTTACTGTCTTGCCATATCATTTTAACCCATAACTATTCCCGGATGTATGCATGCGCTACATGCGAGAATGTGACTGTGTAGCAGTCTGATATTGAAACAAAATATTACAGGAAATGCAAAACGTATTTTAAATTACTTCTCAGAGATCTCATGCTTTAATTATTTCCATTCTAAATGTTGTTTAAGAACCAGTGCTCTATGCCACAACTTTATGGAACAGCAGAGGACAAACTCCTGTCTGTTCTCCCTGAGAAGGCTGCTGTTTGCAAGGAGGAGTGCATACCATCAAAGGCTCTCCAGGCCTTGGATCGGGCAAATTTTCCATTCCAAGTTTGACATCAGGACAAGGGGTGCAGCTATACTGATTGGTAAAAAAGTTCAATTCACTCCCACTGAGACCATCTCAGATCCTAATGGCCCTATGTAATAGTAACAGGCTCATTATTTCAGACCCCAT